ACATCACCAGATGTCTTTTCCTTTTCTATTTTTTGTGGCCTGGTGTTATTGTCTGGTTGCTGTATTACTGAAGTACTTTTTTCATTTTACTTTGGGTACTGAAGGTGTGTGTGCATATTTTTTTAGTAGATACACACACATGGATATATTAGTAGTTTGATATCGACATGATCGAAAGAATCTCGTTCTTAACCTTCAAGTTGTATGAGTGAAATAGAATTGAGAATAGATGCGAAACCGTAGCTCTTAGGTCCTTATGTTATTTTTTAGATAGATGGTCCGCAAAAAGTCAAAAAAATAACACAAGGACCTAAGAGCTACGGTTCCGCAGCTAAATTTAGAACAGTTCTATTCTATATTTGAGATGCAACTTTCAGGCTACAAATTTTTATTTGTTTCCAGTTACTTTTTTAACCATTGATATATCAATTACCTTGAGGAAATAACAATACTAATCAGTACTAAGAAAATTCTTTTAGGATCCACTGGATGTTCTTTTATTAGGAAAAATATACCATGTATAACTCATCAAACCATATACTATTTATACATGTATCTATTTAAGGATTTGTGTTCTATTTTTAGCTTCGAAAACTTTCCACAAAATTGCGGACGTGAAAGAAAACACCATTACAAAAAATCTTTAGAAAACAAACTGTAGCGATGAATCTCTATAACGTTTTGTTTATCATCATGTGTTATATTAGTCTTAGCAATTGTGATGTATAAATATTAAATGATTGTTGCAATCGTAAAGAGGGTTAATGTTAATTTAAAATCGTTTTGTGTCATCTGTTTCAAGACTGACTGACGCAGCTGAGAATTGTATGTGGTTCATTCCCTTTTCTAGAATTAGAAAATATTTTTACTTGTTCCGACTGGTGTGGTTATTTTCAAAAATAGGGGATATCTTACCAAGACTAAAAGTTTAGTATTAATGTCCCAAACTTGCATCCCCTTCTTCTTATTTTCTGCTGGACGATATCTTTTCCCAGTGAATATAGGGTTTCTGTAGGGACGTTTTCTAACATACTACATATAGAATACTTCCGAGACCACACTGTTTTTCCTCATCACAATTATGTAGAAATAGTGATGAGCTACAGTTTTTACACTGTTTTAACTGGTCGGCGAGATATCCAAGCTCAAACGTTACCACCCAACCTCCCTGACGCAAGTCAAGTTCCCTATTTTCATTTTGAAGATAGTCTTCTTGACTATATTCATATTAATTTTCAAAATTCTGTAGCATTTCTTCATCTTCAATTTTAGCAAACAATTTCATTCTCCTAGAAGTAACATACTTTCCATCAAATAACGTTGTCTCGTCAGAAATTCTTTTTTAGCGTGCTTGGCCTAAAGGACCATGTCAGCTGTTACCATCACTTTGTATCTGTCTTCTCCTGTGAAACTGCTCAATGTATTGAAAATCTAGAAGATATCTACTATGAAGTTTGTGATTTATGATCATGTTGGTCAATCAAAATGGCCACAGTGGATTAAATAGAACATGTTTTTTTGGGGCTAATATCTCGTGCACTTTAGCAAACAAAGAACTAACTGGGTCAAAATGGTATCATTACAAGGTTTATCTACCCTGAAAATATAAGAAAAATCTGTTCTTATTCCCTCTGAAATGTTTATTTTTAGCATTTTTGGCAGTTCTTTGCTATTGTTTCGAAGACTATGAACTAGTAGCTAGGTTTAACCTGGGACTATTGTACTAACAGTATATATTATGCCCCAGGTTAAACATGTAAACAACAAATATTATCTATATGGCAAGTTTTTATCTTCTCCAATTATTTAAGGAAAATATGATGGCTCTATATCACTCTACTGTCTGTGAAACTTCACCTGTTAAGGTTTTACCAATTTCACAGTTTTTATACGACCGCAAAAATTTTTTGCGGTCGTATATTGGTATGACGTTGGCGTCGTCGTTGTCCGAAGACACATTGGTTTTCGCACTATAACTTTAGTTTTAAGTGAATGGATCTCTATGAAATTTTACCATAAGGTTAAATACCACTAAAGGAAGGTTGGGATTGATTTTGGGGGTTATGGTACCAACAGTTAAGGAATAAGGGGCCAAAAAGGGGCCAAAAATAAGCATTTTCTAGTTTTCAGACAATAACTTGTGGAACAGTGTATGGATCTCTCTGAAATTATACCACAAGTTTCCATACCACAAAGGGATGGTTAGGATTTGCTTTGGGGGGGTTATGGCTCAAACCGTTTAGGAATTAGGGGCAAAAAAGGGGGGAAAACAAGGTTGTCCTGGTTAATGGACAAATACTATAGCACAAAACATAATTTAAAGCAGTGTAAGGGAGATAAATCAAATACATCATTTGAATTACCTCCCTAACACTGCTTTTAAATTATGTATAAAGTAATGGTTTATGAACAATTAAGACAATTTAAAACAGTGTTAGGGAGGTAATCCAAATATGTTTTGATTACTTCCCTTACACTGCTTTTAAATTATGTTTAAAGAAATGCATATTTATAAAAGAAGACCAGTAAAAATATCTGCAAATGTTGCATCTTTTTTTTTTTACAAAAAAATCCATATGAAAGATTTGACACCATACTTTAAATTCTATAATAAAATAGATTAAGTTAGCACTATGGTAAATTTAAATGGGTAATTATGGTTGATAATTTCATTGGAAATTTGAATTGAGATTATGACCATATCTTGAGGGAAAGAATTTTTTTGGGGAAAAAGGGGGGGGGGGGGGGGGGGTGTAAAAAGAAATTGTGGGGGGTCAATTTTTTCTCATTTCAGATTTCAGAAATTAAAAAGAATTATTCTTCAATTATTATTTTTTTTCAATTTTCAAATATTGAAAAATTTCAAGAAGTAATCTTTTTAAAATTGCACAGTTTGGTGCATTAGATTTGTAAAATCTTTGACCACATTTATTTATTTGTTATGCTGAATCTGACCGTGTATTTAGATTTTTGATTTTGGGCCCAGTTTTCAAGTTGGTCCAAATTGGGGTCCAAAATTAGACTTTCTTTGATTTCAACAAAAATTGAATATATGGGGTTCTTTGATATGCTGAATCTAACCATGTATTTAGATTTTTTATTTGTGGGCCCCGATATCAAATTGATTCATATTGAGGTCAAAAGGGTCCAAAATTAAACTTAGTTTGATTTCATCAAAAATTGAATTATTTGGGTTCTTTGATATGCCAAATCTAACCGTGTATTTAGATTTTTAATTTTGGGTCCCGTTTTTTAAATTGGTCTACATTAAGGTCCAAAGGGTCCAAAATTAAACTTAGTTTGATTTTAACAAAAATTGAATTCTTGGGGTTCTTTGATATGCTGAATCTAAACATGTGTTTAGATTTTTGATTATGGGCCCAGTTTTCAAGTTAGTCCAAGTTGGGGTCAAAAATTAAACTTTGTTTGATTTCAACAAAAATTGAATATATGGGGTTCTTTGATATGCTGAATCTAACCATATATTTTGATTTTTGGGCCCCATTATCAAATTGGTCCACATTGAGGTCAAAAGGGTCCAAATTTCCAAAATTAAATTTTGTTTGATTTCATCAAAAATTGAATTCTTTGGATTCTTTGATAAGCTGAATCTAACTATGTATTTAGATTTTGGAAATTGGACCATAATAGGTAAATTAAAAAATGTTAAGTTCTTAGACCACAATCATTCTGTGTCAGAAACCTATGCTGTGTCAAATATTTAATCACAATCCAAATTCAGAGCTGTATCAAGCTTGAATGTTGTGTCCATACTTGCCCCAACTGTTAAGGGTTTCGACCTCTGTGGTCGTATCAAGCTGCACCCAGCGGAGCATTTTATTGACTGTTACCATAAAAACAACAGGAGCTTAGATCTACCTTAAAATTTGAGAAGAATTCATCATTTCTTTTAGATTTATGGCCCCTGAACTATCCATTTTGACAGATTTTGCAGTTTTCATTCGACTGCAAAAAATTTTGCGGTCGTATATTGGTATGATGTTGGCATGGAATGGATCTCTATGAAATTTTACCATAAGGTTCAATACCACAGAAGACAGGTTGGGATTGATTTTGGGGATTATGGTACCAACAGTTAAGGAATTAGGGGCCAAAAATAAGCATTTTTGTAACTTCCAGACAATAACTTGTGTGTTAGTGTATAGATCTCTCTGACATTGTACCACAAGGTTCCATATCGCAAAGGGAATGCTGGGATTGAGTTTGGGTGTAATTGTCCAAAACGTTTAGGAATAAGGGGCCAAAAATAAGCATTTTTCTAGTTTACAGACAATAACTTGTGTTCAAGTGTATGGATCTCTCTGAAATTGTACTGCAAGGTACCATACCACAAAGGGAATGCTTGGATTGATTTTGGGGGTAATTGCCTCAAAATTTTAGGAATTAGGGACCAAAAAGGAGCAAAAAACAAGTATTTCTTTAGTTTCAGGACAATAACTTTTGTGTTAGTGTATGGATCTTTATGAAATTGTACTACAAGGTTCCATATCACAAAGGGAAAGCTGGGTTTGAGTTTGGGGCCAAAAAGGGGCCAAAAAACAAGCATTTTTACAGTTTCCAGACAATAACTTTTGTTCAAGTGTATGGATCTCTCTGATATTGTACTGCAAGGTACCAAACAACAAAGGGAAGGCTGGGATTGAGTTTGGGGGTAATGAATCATAAGGGGGTTCAAAAAATTTGGGGGGGGGATTTTTTCCTTTTTTTCCTTTTTTTTTTATTTATATATAAAAGCAAATAATAATGATATGGTTTGATTTCATCAAAAATTGAAATATTGGGGTTCTTTGATATGCCAAATCTAACCATGTATTTAGATTCTTAATTTTTTGTCCCGTTTTCAAATTGGTCTACAGTAAGGTCCAAAGGGTCCAAAATTAAACTAGTTTGATTTTAACAAAAATTGAATTCTTTGGATTCTTTGATAAGCTGAATCTAACCGTGTATGTATTTAGATTTTGGATATTGGACCATAATAGGTAAATTAAAAATTTTAAAGTTCTTAGACCACATTCATTCTGTGTCAGAAACCTATGCTGTGTCAAATATTTAATCACAATCCAAATTCAGAGCTGTATCAAGCTTGAATGTTGTGTCCATACTTGCCCCAACTGTTCAGGGTTCGACCTCTGTGGTCGTATCAAGCTGCGCCCAGCGGAGCATTTTATTGACTGTTCATTTCAAAAACTATAGCCATGTTAAAAGTAAAAATTGCAAAAATAATCGTAACATAAAAAAAAACTATTATCGTATGAATTTCTTGATTATTATGAGTAATAGGACCATATAAGGTATATGGGATCCTTGCATGATCTTCATGTTTGTCAGTTGGGCTTTGCAAGACCTGGGCCTCATTTCACAAATCCATGATGTATATTAAGTTCTCATGCTCAAGTCTATGAGGTGCCGAATTAGTCAAAATTATAGTATTTATTGAGCTTGTGAAACATTTCTGGCCTTCCATAATTCAAATTCATGATATCCGTAAATCATTGAGGACTTCCTGAAATATTTCATGATCTCTGTAACTCTATTTAAGTATATCCTGAAATATTTCAGAACCTCCATAATTTGATTTAGGATATCCTGAAATATTTTAGGATCTCCACAAATAATTGTTAAGAATTGCTTTATTTCTGGAGGTCCTTATTTAGTTCAGGATATCCTTAATCCTTCACAGATGAAGACGAATATGTTCCTATTGTCGTAATCACAATCCCGTCCTCTTTTCTTCGAATGTGATCTACCGAAATTAGAATTGTCACCAGCTTTTTACTGACGTGAGCACCACAATGGGTGCCACGTGTGAAGCAGGATCTGCTTACCCTTTCGGAGTACCTGAGATAGCCCCTGGGTTTGGTGGGGTTTGTGTCTTTAGTTTTTATTGTTGTGTTTTGTAGACTGGTGTTTGTCTTTTGGTTTTTGCCGTGGCATTGTCAATTCGTTTTCAGCTTATGAGATTGTCTATTCCTTTTTTATCTTCCACCTCGCTTTTAAATCGATTTCAGAATCCATCTGGCAGGGTTCATCTGACCTTGACCTCATTTTTAGAGTTCATTGGTTAGCATTAAGTTTAGGCACTGGCTACGATTACATTTCAACATTAATTGCCGGAGTGGTTTGTTGGGTAAGGAACCGATTAATTACAAAAGTAACAATAACATTTGTTTCTACGGTTACGTTGTGTTATTGTTACGTTAGATTTATTAAACTTTTTACCTACTATAGTCAGAGACATATAATACAATACAACTTAGGTTCAAAAAGGGTCAACTATATATAATTAAACATTTTATATTCAGTAAAATATGTGTGAAATTACAATACATTGTTAGGAAGTTTCTTTGGGAGATAATCATTTTTTCTTTCGAAAGTCTTCTATATTCAAAAGAATAATGTTTTAGGTTATCTCCCATGGAAACTTATTAACAACAGTATTGTAATTTCACATATATTTTACTGAATATAAGATGTTTTAATTCAAATGATGTCTGATTCTTATGAATATAGAAGACTTTTCGAAAGAAAAATTGTATGAATGGTTAGTTTGGACATTTTTGTAGCAATTCAAAATTACTATCTATCACATTTAGCCTGACAATAACAATAAAATTTCTATACAAACTGTTAGACTGATTTTTTATAATAACATTGAAGTGGAATTAAAGTCTTATAGGATTGTAAGTATGCTTTATTTAATCACCTTGCACTTTCACGACTTGACTCTGGTTTTCTACAGCAGTTTGTGCAAATTTATGACCAATTATACAGTTTGGTTTTATTAAAAAAATTGCAATTTGGTCAGAATTTTTAATAAGTTGCAATAGGTGAAGAGCAACACTTACAGTCAAGTCACAGTAAAAGGATATACAAAGTACGAGACGCATAAAAATGTAGTTTATCATGATTTGGATATGTCTTTACAAGCAACTAGGCTTTAACGTTACATGTATACGGAATTGCTTAAACAATCGGACTTTTTTTTTATAAAATTAACTTAATTTTTAATATTATATAATATAATGGTGTAGAAGAAGTTCAACGATATGTAATAAAATTGAAATCAATTTCACTGATTTATTCTCCAATATTGAATAATTAAAAAAAAAGAGATGTGGCATGACGATTCCCAAAGAGACTACATTGTAATATTCACCAGAGACCACAAGATAGAGGATGTAAACGACGTATAGGTCACCATGTGACCTTTTTAAACTTTTAACAAAACCCATATCGTATACTAAGCTATAAAAGGTCCAAATAATGACAAAATGCAGAACAATTCAAAAGAAAACCAAAAGTCAAAACTGACAACAAAAAACAAACATGGAAGAATGCAACCCGCCAGTTATACTTTACTTTTACAAGTTGACCAGTGTTTTAAATATACAAATCTGCTGATACTCCTGCTATGGAATTGCAGGCAAATATTTAATATCAATAAAAGTAAAATTATTCCTTAAACACACCTAGCTATCTGCAAATAGTCAAATATAAAAACCGATTGTTCCCCAAAGCTGCTAGAAATGCTTATTTAATAGACACGTAATACATATGCATGAAGATTTTAATTTATTTAAAACTGCTTAGTGTTTTGCATGTAGTAATCAAGTTATTTGCTATTGTCTTTGACTTTGTACACATTTCTGAGGGCTTCTTTTAATATTTTTTTTGCAATCGAGTAATGGTATCAGAACTAGCTGAACTAGATTGAAATCTGTGAATGTTTTTAAAAATTGGCAAGTTGAACACATTTTGGAAAAGAAACTAACTCTATTTCCATTTGCCTATAAAAATCGAGCATATCACTATCGCACAAAATATCCATTTCTAACTCTCGTTGATCTGATTGCGAGAATTCGTCCGGCCCAGTTCCACATCCTCCTTCTTCCTTTGTTCTGTAACCAGGATGCACCATTAATTCACAGGAAACAATATCATCTTTGTTATCACTTCGAAATATTTGTTTCAGTGTATTTTTCAATGACTCATTTGTCATGTCAAGTCCCATGGTTTGAAGTCCACAAAATTTTGACGCTAACCTACAAGCCAAAGAGTATTGGCGATTATACATTTTAACAAACGCACTTGCTAAAATATTTCGTCTTCTTTGCGTACCTCAAATATCAAAAGATTGAACACAAAGTATTTAGTATTCTAGTAAACTATTCAAAAATGAACATATTTCCATCGGACTATGGCAAGCCGTTCTCGTCAAAACTATGTTTAAACCATTTTTTCGAAAAAATTACACACTGAGATTTAAGAACCTTAAATAACACACTGAGAAATTGAAATTACACACTGAGAAATCGAAGTTACACACTGAGATTTTATAATTGCACACTGAGATTTAAAAATATGAAAAACACACACTAAGAATTTAAAATTACACACTGAGATTTTAAAAAGACACATTGAGATGAAATAAATTGAAAAACACACTGAGAATTGTTAATTACACAATGAGATTTCAAAAATACACACTGAGATTAATACGCAAATTACTAATGAATATTCATGAGATGAATAATTCAACAGATTAATATCTTGGTCTCCTGAACTCTTGTCATTATAATGAAATGCGGTTCCTTTCCTACAACCAACATTCGTAATAAATTTCAAGACTTAACAAATTTTTTTTGCTAACTCGTATTCATAAGTTTTTTTGCCTATAATTCAGATTATTACTAACAGTATATCGGGATTTTTGCTTAAAACTGTTTAAGCATGTTCCCTTTTCAAAAGTCTTTCAACTGTTACCCTGATTTCGCAAGGTAATTTTTTATATTTTTGTTACGTATATATGCTATAATAAGCACTTGGGGAAAAATCACTGCATTGTTAGTATTTTTGCAGATTGTTCCAATATTTTCTTATAATTTTAATAAAGTTTTTCACCATTTGGTTATATTTTGTAATGAGAGTAAGTGGGTATTTTTCTTGTTCTATTGGTCTTTAATAACGTAGTTTTTCTATACGTTGTATTTTTAATGTTTTTTTATAAAACATTTAGCGCCAAATTGAAAGACTAAAGAGTTCTGTCCCCTTGTTGTTTTAAGATTCAGATTAAATATGCTAATTAGATATGTGCGCATAAAAAGTGCACACAAATCTCACTGTGTAATTTAAAATTCTCAGTGTGTAATTTCAAATTCTCATTGTGTGTTTTTCAGTTTATTCCATCTCAGTGTGTCTTTTGGAAATCTCATTGTTAATTTTCAATTCTCAGTGTGTGTTTTTCATTTTTTGCAATCTCAGTGCGTTTTTATGAAATCTCAGTGTGTAAATTTTAATTCTCAGTGTGTGTTTTTAGGTTTTTTAATCTCAGTGTGTTTTTTTTTATTCTCAGTGTGTAAATTTTTCGAAAAATGGTTTAAACATAGTTTTGACGAGAGCGGCTTGCCATATCGGACCGTTTTCTTTTAAAGAATACCCGATTTGTAGTTCCTCGAAGGAAAATGATTCATTCCCCCTACACAATTTTAAATGATCATCCTGATCATTAATATGAAGTTGATACGGAATATCATATAACATTCCAAATGACATTTCTAAACGGTCATATTTTCATGCTCGTTTATATCAGAGTCATGTGTGCCAAATTTGCTGCTGGTTTTAAAATGCAAATCTGAATCAACTATTAAATCTTCATCTCATCTGAGCCCATACTTTGGACGGACAAAGCACAAACCATCCATACATTGGGGTTAATATGATCAAAGAAATTCTAAAAGGAATAGAAAAGTTATAAATAGAATTTAAAGAAGCTGGAAACTGAATATGTTGGGTCACGGTCAAAGCGCTAACAAATGAGAATGGACAATGTACGTGGTTAGCGTGTATACGTCATATTTTTTTCTAGTACGAATCATGGAATTGCAACTAACACTTGTTACTAAGAGAAAGTATAGAATGTGCTGCTTGTAACAAAGGTAACGATTGTTCGTTCCCTATTGGTAATTTTCATTTTTTTGGACGGTGATGTTCCTTTGGCCCCCACGGGATAGTACAACCTAATTTTTAGGTGATGTTGTTTATTGAGCCCGTAAATTTAGATACTGTCGAGCCCGTAGATTAGATACTATCGAAACGCAAATTCAGATACTGTCCGGGTAAACTTGTAAATGTAAATTGAAAACCAACTAAATATTATTGCTATATACTATTATGAAAATTTTTAACAATTGGCATTGCACAATATCATGCTTATCTGACTGGTAATGACGTCTTTACACTAAATCCGTTGGATGTTGGATATGTACTGATTAAACATATTTAACCCCGCCACATATTAAATAGGCTAGTCCCAAGTCTGCGATTGAGTGGCTATCGTTTGTTGCTGTTAATCATATTTGTTTTTCATTTGTTGTTTTATTTAGTGTGTTCTTGTGTTGTGCTGTTGCACAACTGTCCCAGGTTACGTCTACGTCATTTGGTCTCTGGTTGAGAATTGTCTCAATGGCAATCATACTACATCTTCTCATGTCTACTAATGTCTATATTGTAGCGGTAAAAACGCATTCTTGAATGAGAAATAGTTATGTTTCCGCAGAAATTAATTATTATACTAGATATTCGAAGCGCATATGCTGATATCATGACTATCCAACTGAAAATATAAACATGAATTCTATAAATTAATAGATTAGATGCATAATTTCTCTGTCTATAGTCCTTTTTCTGTAGATTAGTTTGTCGTTTTTAATTACCATAATCCGTTTCTGAGGAAAATAGGTTTTGCCTGTTGAGACTGCTGCACAACTTCAGCCATTAAAGTCGCCATGTTCTTGGTATCTCCTTCGAACCAAGCATACTTAGTGTCAGGATTAAGATCTTCATAAGGACATCTTGTACTTCTGATTCCATTCTGTGAAAGAACATGTGCAAATATGTCACATATACCTAGAATGAAAAATAGCCTAATAAATGACGGATAACAGGTTGTCAGACAAGCAACTTGACCAACTTTTCAATTACCAAAAAATACGTGTATAAGTGAAAAGACCTGGTAGTAAACACCATGTTATACATTTTCATAAGTAAGGAAAAATACTTTTAAAAATCTTTTAAAATATTCTTAAAATCAAGAGTTTGTTGGTCTCGACAAACTAGGGTTTTTTGGGTGTTTTATTATCATGACTGTGTTTTCATATATCTCTAGATGGTCTGAACTAATAATTTATGTTTTTATCATCTTTTTCTTGACCCTAAACTAGCATAAACAAATATATGATAAACGCAATGATTTCAGTTTTCCTATTATTCCTTCTTATTCTGGTGTAGTAACATGCCGTCTTAAAAAGAGGGCATATTCCACTGATATTTACATGGTCGCTTAATTACATGTGTTAAATACGTAATCGTATATGTAGTTCTAAGTACGATCAAAAATATTAATCATAATACATCTTTGATTGACAGACGTGATGTTAAAGACTGAGGTACCTGGAAGCACATGCACATGCTGATGACCATCAACATGTTGTGGTTTACATCCCATCAATTCTTCACATCTGTCAATCTGTTTTTGTAGTTCATCTCTAACCTGTAAAAATAACTTTTTTAAACTTCGAATAAATATGTATTTTTAAATCAAGAATTGATGAAAAGTATTGCATGCTTTGTTTCATACCATTAAACAAAATCATGATTACAATTGCCTAAGATAGGGTAAAAATGTTTCCAAATGTTAATTCTCCAATGGTAGAGAAAGATCTGAGCTACGTCAACCATATTTTCTATTTTAGGGGTTTTCAATTTGTTAGAAAAAATTCTGAACAATTTTGTAGCTTAACATTTTTTTGCACCATTATCATTTTCAAATTATTTCGTTTTTTCTACCTCATTTCCAAACACATATGAAAAAACCAATGATCAGTGAACTATGTAAGCAATATCATGCTCAGGCGAGCCCTTGCGGACAGGTGTCTTTCAATGATGGTGTGGACCGGGCGACCTACATTTGCGCGAATTTACATTTTGACAGGTATTACGTTTGCGCGAACAACCTGTATTTTACCTGTATTTATACTTGAGTTTCAACGACCTGAGTATAACCTGGACTTGACGGATTTTTTGTCCAAAAATGGAGAAAAATATAATTAGAGAAGTCTTTAATCGTTTACATAAACATTAAAAAGCACTACATGAATCTAAAAACATAGTCTTGAATAAAACGAAGGGGATTTTTCTGGAAAGGAACATTCTTAATACTTAACACACAGTAAATGTATATTCTTGGTAGAAACAGTCTATAAGTCAGTCCTTGCCTGGTACATGTACTTGTACCCCAGCAATTTAAGATAACATTGGCGAAATAGATGTATAAATACGCAGCCACGTCCGGTCAGAAAGGGTGAAGAGAGTTTCCTGCAATTTAAGAACTCTTTGCATCAACTCTTTGAGGGGTCCGTAGGTGGTCTCTTGCAAGGTTATCTAGTGGTAGTCCTAATTTCACTCCCTTCATCCCGGTCTACTCCTATTACAGGACTTACTTACCTATTGTATTAATGGTGGAATTTTTTATCGTCCTAAACATTCATGAAATATTTGTCACTGAACGTAAAGCAAATAAATCAATCAATACAGGTGTAGATGGCAGGATGAGTTGAATAAAACTGTTTGTTATTATGGCCGGTTAATGCCATTTCGCGTTTTCGCGATTTCGCCTTTCATATTCTATAGGTCGAAAACACCAGAAGGCAAACGCGAAAACGCGAATTCGAAAACACGATAACGCGAAATCGAAAACTCGAAAACGCGAATAGGTTTCACTTCTCGATTTCGCATTTTCGCATTACAGAATATGAAAGGCGAAAAGGCGAAATCGCGAAATGGTCTTAACCGGCCACCATAGTTTGTTATAGTTGCAGTGAAAATCCTCAGGGCATTGTGGAAACTTTTTGTGTTTATTGTGTTTATTATCATTTGGAATAGCTTGCCATATTGGTCACGGTAATTAAGAAAACTTGCAGGTTGTCGTAATTTCAACTAAGAAGTTGTTGAATTTGTTATTCCAGAAATCTTAATTTTATGTAAAAATTCTAAGATTTTCAAATTATTTTTTAATAGAAAATTTTATAAATCCGCGCAAACGAAGTAACTGTTTCACAGGTAAATCGTGGATACGTTTTCGTGCAAATGAAGGTCAAATTCGCGCAAACGTAACGCGCCGTGTGGACCACGTATATTTGATCACTTATGTTTCACTTGAAAATTTAACATCATGATGAAAAATTATGCGTACGTTGATTTGTACAAAGTGTAAAACATCTATTGTGAAAACTTGCCTCGTTCAGGTTGAATCGTCCTTCAGCAGCACGTTCTCGTATTTTGAAAAGTTCGAAAAAGTTACCATCAGAATCAGTCAGGGTCTTTGCACTTGGACCAAGTGGTTTTCCCTCTGATATATTAAGATGGAGTCCTATACGTGAGATAATAAACACTGTTAAAATAAAGCACAATATAGTCAAATAGAGTAACGACCTTTAATAGAATTGTAAAAAACAATGAAAATTTAAAACACACATACACACAAATAAAATAGGTTTGGTGGCCTTGGGCTGTTTTCTGCTCTTTAGTCGGGTTGTTGTCTCTTTGCCACATTCCCTGTTTCCATTCTCATTTGTTTTTTGATTCTTTGGAATTTAAACTAAAAAGGGAGAGCCAAGTTGTTCTCCTATAGCCTACATGGTTACTAATTTCATAATTGTCTTTGCAAAAAAAAAAAACGATACATTGTTGGGTTTGCCAAAATATTTAAGAAGCCTTCGAAGTTACCATCCTCTATTATATTTTTAATCAAAATTTTGTTACGCTTCCTCTATGGGCAAATTTGGTGGGTATAATGTCGATCTATCCTTAGTTTTCTGTGTAATGTTTTGATTTATCTTTTCATCTTCACTCTTTTGTCTCTCGAGTTTCTTCTTTTTGTCCTTCTCCAATTATGTTGCACTGTTAACCTGTGGGAAGGCCTGCCAATTTTGCCTTCTTAGCAGCGTCCTCGGCAGAAACGCCATTCACAAGCATTGTAGTACTTGATATAGCTCCTGCTTTGAAACAATTTATGATGCCATCATTCCTTTCAATTCCATAACCAAAATCATCAGCGTTGACTATTAAGTAGTTAGGCATGTTTTAGAAGATTAACCAGATTTTAAGCACTTTTATAATCAGTTGATATACATAACAAATCTGCAATGATAGACAAATAAAATTGATAATTGATACAAGTGCGGGATTTACTCGTTTTGTTGAAGACCCATTGGTGGACTTCGGTTGTTTTTGCACTTTGGTCGGGTTGTTGTCTCTGTGACACATTCCCCATTTTTTATATTTTAAATTTTATTGAAAGATGTAAAACTGAAAAAAAAAAGAAATTGAAGATGGTATATATTTTTTACTTAAATGTCTTTAATACATCGAAGATTGCAAGCCTTTTCTAATTAATGTAGAACTAAATAAGGGTGTAAAATTAAAAGACATTCACTGACAAATCTAAATTTTTAAATTTGTCTTGATGTTTTATTCAAATGGAATAGGTAAATCACAGAAGTCCATTTTTGGTTTTCATTACACGGAAATATTTGTGGATCTATACAAGTGTGTTTTTGTTGAACAATCTACTGAGCTTCAGAGTTATTACCTCTTTTAACACAATTGTCGTGATTACGAAATGTGCTAAGTTTTTGAGTTCAATTTCGATTAGCGGAAGTGGAATTTATATTATAAACGCGATTTTTTTAAGCAGGTGAATATTCGAAGTGTCATGCACAGAGAGTTTTTTAGTTATTTTACCGTTTTTTTTTTAATCATTATTATAGATAAATAAAAGAGGCCGAAAGACAAAGCCTTTGAATTTGGATCATAATAACGGAATGAGTACTAGGTAGTGTGTCAATGTATATTTGTTCCGCCTAACAGAAGTTCCACCTGAAACTTTGTTATAAACAATGTCATAATATCTGTTCCTGTTGGGACAAATATTCTATACCATTTATTCCGTTAGGAATATTTACTGTAATATTTATTCCAGTGGAAATAATATTCCAGAATATTGTTTCCATTTGGAACTTATATTATGAAGGAACTTCTGTTCCGTGACAGTGCAATCAAAGAATTCTAAAATAAATTGACCACAGTTATTTCGTAGAGCAATTCTTTTTTGGGACAATAAATTCAAATAGAAAAGAAAAAAAGAAATGACACGGCAGGCATCATTATTTGTATAGTTATATAAAAATATATTTAGAACAAAATTCATATCTTAGTCTTTTTTAGCTTATAGTTTACATAATATTTAAACTACCAAGCCAATGAAAAATACTTACATTTTCTAAATATTAATTCATATAAATCCTGACAAAAACAATTTGAATAAGTTTAAAATGAGAAGAAAATAGATGTATATTAAATCTTTTTGTGAAAAATACATTTGTGGATATATTTGTAATTTCAAAATGGTTGTGGGAGCACACATCTCGTTTAGTTATTCTCTGAAAACTTAAGATACTGTGCAAAGGGAGGCAAATCAAATTTTACCAAAAAGGTGCCGTATCGCCAGCTGATGGTGCAAAATCAGCAGGTGCCGTATCAGCAGGTGAGCGATTTAGACCTTACTGCGTTATTCCGCAGACACAGAAGCCATGAATAGAGCCAGAAAGAGGATAATCAGCTCGCTGGCTAGTTTTATCGTTCGCTAAAGAGGACATTAAAATCAATACATACAAGAAGCAGATGCATCTCCTAATTCCATATTTATATGCCAAGATGGTGTACATTTGACTGATATTGGTAATTAAATTTTGCTAATCACAATTCAAGGCGCTGTAGAGGCCTTTATTGGCTATACACCACATACTTTCTCCAATGACTGAATGAGTATTAAGAAATTGTTTTATATTCATTTAAATTCAGTTCATCGTTAGGTTTTAAATATACGAGTCCTTTATATCTCTCTTTTTTTTATTTGGCACACAGCTTCTACGCAGCTCTATCCGCTTTTATTAAATGGCGGTTGATCCGATTATAGTCATTTATGACTGCCTTGGTCAATTTGGCACATTTCGCTGCGTTTCCTAAATAAATATGCGTCATTATGCGTCATATTTCATTCAGCATCCAAAACATTTGATGTTGTGGATCTCTGTATCAAAGGACCATCACCGAAAAAAATTACTAACCTCTATATCCAGGACTCATTTAATTGGATGCTTCAAGTATTGTAAAAAATTATAGTTATCTTTTTATCTTTTTGTACTTTGGTCTATTTACTATATGTATATCTTAATATTGTTTATCTAGTTAGTTATCTAGTTTGCCAATATAAAGTGACTAATCAGATATAAGAAGATGTGACATGAGTGCCAATGAGACCATTTAATTATCTATTTACTATACATTATATAAATGAGAGGGTGATGGGCAGATCCCCTCCCCCCCCCCGAGAAAACATTGACAACTGAGGCGAAGCCAAGGTTGACAATGTTTATCGAAGGGTAATATTTTCTCTACCACCCTCTCAGCTATGTGTTATATATATAATGTATAGTAAATAGATAATTAACCGTTATTTTCACGAAATTTTCAAACTCCAAAGCCTGTAATTTTCCGGAAAAAATTAGCGGAGCAGAACCAAACGTAAAGTCGATCTGTAACTCATCATAGTTGACCCACATACTAAAAATCCATACAAAGTACTGAAGTACTGAACATCGGATGACCGCAAGTTCTTGTGGATGGTCAAAAGCACTTGTCACAGAAAAAAATCACATCTCTATACCTGAAACTGAGGTTAATGTACAGAGATATATTTTTTTCATATTATTAATTCATGTTCTAAACAAAAATATTTTTATCAGTATTCATTGAAGAGATGTATTTATAACAAACGATAAGGAATGTTAGTTTGCCATCGTTAATATCGGCGTATTTATCATGTTTATAGATCGGTTACAAACCCAAAACGAAAGTTACGTATAAATGGAAATCTAGGCGATGACAATAAATCGGAATGCCCTCACGGTCATCGCGATGTAAAAAAGTCCGTATAACTGTTATTTTCACGAAATTTTCAAAGTCCAAGGCGCGTAATTTCGGCAAAACTCAGAGGAGCAGAACATAACGAAAACTCGATCTGTAACTCAACATAGTAGACTCACATTCTAATAAAATGCTTCGCTGGGCGCAGCTTGATACGACCGCAGAGGTCGAACCCTGAACAGTTGGGGCAAGTATGGACACAACATTCAAGCTTGATACAGCTCTGAATTTGGATTGTGATTAAATATTTGAAACAGCATAGGTTTCTGACACAGAATGAATGTGGTCTAAGAACTTAAAAATTTTAAATTGGACATTCACCTATTATGGTCCAATATCCAAAATCTAAATACATGGTTAGATTCACCATATCAAAGAACCCCAAGAATTCAATTTTTGATGAAATCAAACAAAGTTTAATTTTGGACCCTTTTGACCTCAATGTGGACAAAGTTGATAACGGGGCCAAAAAATCAAAAATCTAAATACATGGTTAGATTCGGCATAACAAATAAATAAATGTGGTCAAAGATTTTACAAATCTAATGCGCCATACTGTGCAATTAAAGATTACTTCTTGAAATTTTTCAATATTTGAAATTTGAAAAAAAAATAATATTTGAAGAATAATTCTTTTTAATTTCTGGAATCTGAAATGAGAAAAAATTGACTCCCCATAATTTCTTTTTTCCCACAAAAAAAATTCTTTCCCTCAAGATATGGTCATAATCTCAATTCAAATTTCCAATGGAGTTTGCAACCATAATTATCCATTTAAATTTACCATAGTGCTAACTTAATCTATTTTATAATAGAATTTAAAATATAGTGTCAAATCTTTCATATGGATTTTTTTGTAAAAAAAAAAGATGCAACATTTGCAGATATTTTTACTGGTCTTCCTTTATTAATATGCATTTCTTTAAACATGATTTAAAAGCAGTGTAAGGGAAGTAACCAAAACGTTGTATTTGGATTACCTCCCTTACACTGTTTTAAATTATCTTAATTGTTCATTAACCATTACTTTATACATAATTTAGATGCAGTGGAAGGGAGATAATTTCAATGATGTACTTGATTTATCTCCCTTACACTGCTTTAAATTATGTTTTGTACTAAAGTATTTGTCCATTAACCAGGACAACCTTGTTTTTCCCCCTTTTTTGCCCCTAATTCCTAAACGGTTTGAGCCATAACCCCCCCAAAGCAAATCCTAACCATCCCTTTGTGGTATGGAAACTTGTAGTATAATTTCAGAGAGATCCATACACCGTTCCACAGTTATTGTCTGGAAACTAGAAAATGCTTATTTTTGGCCCTTTTTTGGCCCCTAATTCCTTAACTGTTGGTACCATAACCCCCAAAATCAATCCCCACCTTCCTTTTGTGGTATTGAACCTTATGGTAAAATTTCACTAGTTAAGTTACTAAAGTTAGAGTGCGAAAACCAATGTGTCTTCGGACGACGACGACGACGCCGGACGACGACGACGACGACGACGACGACGACGACGACGCCAACGTCATACCAATATACGACCGCAAACATTTTTTGCGGTCGTATAAAAATCAGCTCAATATGTGAAGGCGTCAGAAAAAAAAGTCCGCATAATTGTTATTCTTACGAAATTTGCAAAGTCCAAATAGATATAGGAAGATGTGGTATGAGTGCCAATGAGACAACTCTCCATCCAAGTAACAATTTATAAAAGTTAACCATTATAGGTCAAGGTACGGCCTTCAACACGGAGCATTGGCTCACACCGAACAGCAAGCTATAAAGGGCCCAAACAATTACTAGTGTAAAACCATTCAAACGGGAAAACCAACGGTCTAATCTATATAAAAACGAGAAACGAGAAACACGTGTCTGTAATTTCAAAGCCTGTAATTTCGGCAAAAATCAGCGGAGCGGAACTTAACGTAAAATTGATCTGTAACTCATCATAGTTGATTCGCATACTGAAAATCAGCTCAATATTTGAAGGCATTAGAAAAAAATAGTCCGCATAACTCATGTAACTGCATGTTCGTTGCGGAATAACGGAATAGCGGAATGACAGAATGACAGAATGACGGAATGACGGACAAAGATTAAACTATAAGGTCCCGACCTAAGTCGGCGGTGCCATTAAAATCAGTTGAAAAGGGCTTAACTCATCAGATCGATACAAGGAAGAAAAAAATATCTAACAAAAACACAGACCAGACGAGGCAGGGTATTTATACATCCCTAACAACAAAAAAGACACGGAGTATACAGATCTGAGAGTACTCGCAGTAACTGACAGCTAGTTTATTCAACCTCTAAGTTATTTTATTTAAATGTCCATACTAAAAGTTTGTTTTAGTACACATAGTAAAAGGGGTTGAATCAGATATGGTAAATTCGCTTAAAACTAGATGAGACATTTGAATATTCACACAAACAATGACAACATATATATATTGTACCCAATCGCCTTTGGACAAAGCTTATGCCTATAAAACATATTCTTTTTTCTTTTTCTTCTTACTATGTAAGACGCATTTCCTGGCATAATACTTTCATTGTACTTTTTTATGTTGTACTTTAAACAAAACGGGCCATTGACCTGATTAAGAGTTCAGACCTGAGTTCAGACCCTTCGACATACTCTGGTGCTGTTCAATAGGTTTATACTTGGGTCACGGTAGAACTGAAAAACCAAGGATATATGATATATATGTATATGTGGTGTGTGAGCTGATATAGTGTATTATGTGTATCTGGTGAAAACAATAGAAAATCTCTCGTTTTACAAGTTTAAGCTTTCCAAAAAGATTGTCTGACTATCACATATTAGATACGAGTAGTATGTTTTTAGACGTTAGTCATTCTGGAATAGGCTGAGGACTTCACTTAAAGTGGGTGTATATTTTGATTTAGGTGGCGACTTTAAATTGTTACGAAAGTTTCATATAGAATATGATTTTATGGTAAATATAATGTTCACAAAATTATAAAACTTATTTCATTGTCGAAATGCACATCTGGTGAAGAAAAATTGGTACCGTTAATGTTATTGAAGATGTCCTTTTGGTTCAACAGCTATCACTCTTATAGCGATTGCAATTTGGTAATTTTTATACTAAATTTTCATGATTTTTTCATGATTCACTCCATAAAAATGAATAAACAGTGTGCACCACATTTTTGATGTTATATCTTCATAGACAATAAAAAATAGT